AAAGAGATTTTAATTAGCAAGAAAAATTAGTTCTCCAGCTCTAACTACTCAGGTATGTTATATGGACCTGCAGTAGGTTGCATGAAATTAAAGCGTTTATGAGGGAAATTAAACCTGGTGAACGAATTCAGAGAAATCTTTCTTTCTAGTTGTTTGGCATGATCACAAAGAACGATAAAGCCAAGTTGCCTTGTTTCTCTGCAGGACTCTACTCCATTGCCTACTCCAGAAACACCCCCAGTTATATCTACTGTGGTTCATGCGACAGATGAGGAAAAACTGGCATCTTCAGTGACCAGTCAGAAATGGACGTGCATGACTGTGGATCTGAATTCGGATAAACAGGATTACCCAGAGCCATCTGACCTATCTACATTTGTAAATGAGACCAAGTTCAACTCTCCTACAGAGGGTAAGCTTATGTACCACCAGCCTACTCCAGTCAACGTTTTATTTCTCAAGGCAAAGGCAAGAAAGAATGGGGGGGGGGAAACTGAAGGAGAAATTTCTTTTGACCTCTTGTGGCTTAAACAGAAGGGATTGTGGGCTGATACTGCTCTCAGCTAATGTGCTTATACCCAGTCCAAAGACCACTGAAAGAAATGGCTTTGGTTTTTTTCTGAGCCTGTAGTCTTTGACCTCAAGCGGTAGAGAATTGGGCTTCAGTACTGACGGATCCAGATTCACATTCTGCCATAAATCTGTCTGCTATATATAAACTTCCTTCTTTAACACAGCATGTCTCTCTAAACCCTCAGCTTTCATCATACATTATAAATATATAAAAGCCCAGGATATCCAGCAATGTCTAGATTAGCTTTCACTAATACATATTCTATGCTATGCTATTCTGTTCTGTTGTTCCAAGAGTTGTTCATCAATTTTTTGAGGCAAACAATTGTAAGATCCTGTTAGAATTTTCTATAGTATCATTAATTCTTGATATTGTTCATAGTCTGTGAAACAAGAAAGGGACAGAAGCTATTTCTTGTGAATGAGCATTTCTCACTCTCGCAGGGAGTCACAGTCGCATAAAGAAGGGCTTTGCAGATCTGCCCTAAGGATGCAACTTATAAATGAAGGAAGTTATAAATATGAAAAGGCTAATCCATTTCCAAGGCATCTTTTTCAGACCTTGCTGATTTCATTTTCTCCATCATTAATCTTTTCTGCCCAAAGGCCCAATGGGATGTTAAAATAATATTGAAATTTTGTCTTGTTAAAGACAGCCAGATTAGGTAGGCTTCTACAGCATAACCTAGCAAACATGTGCCTAACTATGCATGGGAGTAACTGTACTGGGTTTAATTGTACAGCGCATATGAATATTCATGTATACACTTAACTGTTTTTATGTCTAGGACCTTTCTGAGGTCTGTTGATGTCCCTTTTTGGATGGATCACTCTGAATAATTTATTTCCTACCATTGTTAAATGGATTAATGCATAAATATAGGAATCAAATGCATTTTAAGTGACTACATCATATAACATTCATGCTGTGTCTTTAAAGAAATGGTGCAGCAAAAATTATTTTTTGAACAAACAACCCACTTTATGGAGGCACTAAAACCCATCATTTCAGCTTGTACCTATTAACAGAAAGTGAACAGACCTCCTAATTAAATGCTAATCCTCTTGCCTCACATGTGTGGGTAGTATGTGCGGAGTTTCAGATTGCACATTAATTATAATCAACAGTACTTCCTCTTTGAGATCATTTAAAAATAATCATTCCTTCCCATGACAGTTCTGCTCATGCTGCTTTGGGAAATCTTTGATTGATTCCAGGGATGCCTACTGATGCATCTGTTTAAACATTTTTTGATGTTGTGGCTATTCTCCTGTCACCAAAAGCTGTCTTTGTACAGTGACATCTCCACCAGTACATACTGTTCACTCAGACTCATTCATACCACTTCATTAATTCATTGGAATGGCCCTCATCTTGCCATCTACTTTAATTGTGTGTGAAAAACCACAGATATCAGAAAAGAATCCTCTTTAATGAGCCAAATAATTTCTTTTGTTTCTAGTTCATGCATCTCTATCCACAAACTACACTTGGAACCAACTGAGGTTAAATGAAGATCAACCCCAAAATCAAATCACATGGATTATATTTGCATGGCCCTTAAAGTGGGGATTAAATTGACATACAGTTGTTACCCTATCTGCCAGCAGAGGACACTGACAGTCTGTCCCTTGGTGTACACTTTCAAATAGGTTATTCACCAGGAGTTAGGAGCTAGTTTGTACAACTGACTGCAAGTTGGGGAGTTGGAACAAATAGAGGTATTTCCAAACCAGTGAAGTCTTTTAGTAATTTACTTCCTGATTTCTTCTGCACAGGTGCTACATGATCTTATTTCACACTTAATGCCAGTATTTGTATTTCTTTTTTTGCTCGAGGTAGAAAGGAGTATATATTTAATACATGTCGTTTCTAGGGCTGTGTGAAGCTTCAGGTACTGATTCAATTCAGAGGAGATTCGGCCTGATTCGGTGGCCAAATCTCCAAATTTGAATCAAATCAGGGGACCAATTAAAAGGTCTGAATTGATTCGAAGCTCTCAGATCTTTGGAAAGCTTCAGTGATTTGGACAGTCCCTGCCTGCTGCAGCAGGAAGCTGGAGCCAGACTCCAGACTCCAAGTAGGGGGTGGGGGAGGGGGGCTGGAGGAAG